GCTTGGCAGTTCATACAACACTCTCCAAGAGATTCAATGACAATATATCAAGATGTAATCTCTTCCAGGACAAATTCATCCTTCCCAATATGCCAGCAATCTTTTATCTGCTTTCCAGTGCTTGGAGCAATATATCAAGAAGTCACAAGAAGGTGGTGAATGTGAAAGTCATTTTAATGAATCAAAGGAAGACAGCAGCCTGTGTACAGCTGTAGAGTTTAGTAACTGGGATCAAACTGAGACAAATCATTTTCTCAATGGAAAAATGACTATTCAATTAAATTACTGTCATAGAGATTACATTACCTGGGAAGGTGAAATGAATGGATTTAAATCCAGGAACAGTTTATGTCTAAAATATGTACATCATAAAAGAGGAAAAGAGTGTGGGGGTAGGTTGTAAGGTGGGAATAGGGTTAACAAGGGGCAGGCGGAGGAAGGAGAACTACAAAAACATGCTTTGCTGAAATATGTCATAATGGTGTCTAATTTTGAAAAAATTAATATATATGATATGTATGTTAAGTGGTTCTGTCTTTGAATATTGTTCAACATATTCCTAGGTTCTCATAAAAATAAATAGCCATGGGGATCTTCAGTTAGTTCCAAAACTGTAGCAATGCTCAATCTGCTGTCCCTTTTCAGTCTGATCCACATAGTTATGTCTCTCTTAAGGCATCAACAGTGTTAGCAAATTAGACAGGTATGTATGTTTAGTGCCAGATACTCAATGCTTTAAATATGTCATTTTACTTCATGCTCACATTTGAACATGTGCATGCTTGTGTTTATGTGCACATGATTTGAGTAGATGGGAAGAGATGAAAAAGTCACCAGAAAACTCATTATTTTATGTTATTAATATGTGCTAATTAAAAAAGTTTAAAAATAGTTTGGTGTGGTGACTCATGAATGTTTGCAATTTCAGCACTTGGGAGGCTGAGGCCAGAAAGACTGCCATGAATCTGAAACCAGCCTGGGCTACACAGCAAGCTTCTGGCCAGCTTGTGCTACAAAGTTGGACTTTGTCTCAAAACATAAAAAAGAGAAAGAAAAAAGGAGGAAAAAAGGAAGAAAAATAAAATGGATATTTTAAAAGAAGGAACATTAGTTGCATTCCCACATTTGCAGAAGGCCCAGAGAGGATAGGCAGTCTAAATTCATTCTGCACCAAGGACTGTTTAATTCAGAATTCAGAACTGCTACCTCTGTGGAGCCATCTGCTGTGGTGATATTGTGTTCCCCAATCTATTGTGCACCCTAATAAATTTATCTGGGGTCAGAGAACAGAACAGTCACTAGACAGACATAGAAGCCAGAAAATGGTGGCACTCACACCTTTAATCCTAGCATTCTGGAGGCAGAGATCCGCCTTGATCTCTGTGAATTCAAGGCCACACTGGAAACAGCCAAGTGTGGTAACAAGAGCCTTTAATCCCAGGAAGTGATGGCAGAAAGCAGAAAGGTATATAAGGCTTGAAGACCAGAAACTAGAAGTTTTTGGCTGGTTAAGCTTTTAGGCTTTTGAGCAGCAGTTCAGCTGAGATCTATTTGGATGAGGCCACAGAGGCTTCCAGTCTGAGGAAACAGGATCATCTGAGGAACTGGCGAGGTGAGGAAGCTGTGGCTTGTTCTATCTCTCTGATCTTCCAGCATTCACCCCAATAACTGGCACCCAGTTTGTTTTTTATTAATAAGACCTTTTAAGATTCGTGCTACAATCTGCTACTCAAGGGAGGCCACTGCAGTCACTGCTCTTGGCGAGTGTTTCACTCATACTTCATTTGATCATATCAGACTGTTGAAAGAGAGAGAGTTGTATCCCAATTTTCTTTATAGACTTCAATCTATGGTATTGTTGTAACTCTGTAGGTTCTGGACAGACTGTACAGCCACTTGGCTATCTTTTGTGTACAAATTTTCCATGTTATATTGTCATAGTTAGCTTTAACTATCAACTTGACACAGCCTAGACTCACCTGGGAAGAGAGTCTCAGTTAGGAAGTGTCCACATTGGGTTGGCCTGTGGACCTGTCTGTGGAGGATTGGGAACTCACCAGACTGTAAGTTAGGAATTCCATGAGCTTATTTTGAGATTCCAAAGTGAGTGAATTAGTGTACAGAAAGTAGTTGCTGTAGTAAGAAGCAATGAATTTCACTTACCTAAAAAAGCAAAGAATTTCAACTAGCTGAAATGCCAAGAAAGACAGAAGGAACATGGAAGGAGATCTTAAGGAATTATAAATATCCATCAAAGGCTTAGTGATAAACTACTAACTATAAAAGCTACCCATGGGCTTGGAAAGGACTCAGTGGATAAAGTGCTTGTTGTGGAAGCCTGATGACCTGAGTTCAGATTGCCAGAACCCATATAAAAGCAGGATACAGTAATGTAAGCATCCATGATCCCATTAACCCCACAGAGAGATGGGAGATTGAGCCAGGATACTCACCATACACTAGCTCAATGGTGACCATCAAGAGACCCTGGGACAGACACATGAAGGCACACACACACACACACACACACAAACACACACACACACACACAAACACACACACACACACACACACACACACACACACACACACACACACACACACGAGCACCATATTTCCTCCCTTGCTCAGCATCTTGCTTCATGCATCTTTCTTTCTTTCCTTACTGTGTTATATAGTATGGCTGCTTACTTTCATCATTCAATAATATCATTAATTAGTCCCATCTCCTTAGTGCATCATACTGTCACTCTGATTTATGGAGAAAAGAATAAACACCACTCAGAGATACAGATCCTAGGACTTAGGTTGTCTTCTTTAGGGAGCATGTTTTTATCTGTGTCTAGGGTAGTTTTATTATGGCTGGGAGCATATATCTTGCATTATTGAAGCTGTTATTTGGAATTTGAAGTATCAATTGGATGGTGCTTGTGAAGGCAGAATAGCCGAAGGAATGACCTGTGGTGGATGTAATGCATGGTATCCAGTGTTTTATATATTCTTTCTGAACCTACAGAGGATGAAAGCTGAAATATATTTTCTAGACTTCTTTGAGTGTAGGAATCTCGATGTGACTTAGTTGCATCAGTTAGACTCGCACATGACCAAGCGAGGCAGGGCACCTCTTTGCTGTTTGGCTCTAACCTTGAAGGTCTCTTTCTCCATCCCCACACTGCAGCTTGTTTCTAGAACTGCGTCATTTCTCATGGCAGCATCCCAAGTCCCCACTTTGCTCATTTAATCATGTTGTTTGTATATCTTTTTTTCTATGATTTCTTTCCTTGTCTGGGTCATGCTGTCCTCTGCTGATTCAAATGTTTACATTTTGTCTCTGGCTCTTCTGGTGGTAAAAGTCTACCTATGGAAAACACTATGTGAGATTGGAATACTTATTTGAAGTTTTTGCTGCTGCAGTCTATAGAGCCTGATTATATTAGGTCTTCCTCTCCTGGGGTGGAACATACTTCTTATGCCACAGTATTAGTGAAATGATGAAGGTCCTGTCCAAGAAGAAGCTTTAAGAACTTCTTTTCATTCTGCCATGAAAAAAGCAAACTAGACATGTCTCATGTCCTTTGTTTAGTGTCTCAGAAAGACAACGTATAGAGTAGAATCACAGCACACAGGCAGCTGCCAAGTAATTATAGAGAGAAGCCAGCCTTTCTCAGAGGACTCCTTGTGGGATTCAAGATCGTTATCACAGCGCACTGTAGCAAAGCTGACTGATGTGTTAATTCCTTCCTCACTCCTCAGGCTCAGTCACTGATTTCTATCTCTGCCTCTCTGTCTGTTTATGGATAGACAGATGAATAGGTAGATATATAGATGATAGATAGAAGAAAGAAAGGAAAATAGAAAGAAAAAGAGAGAGAAAGGAAGGAAGGAAGATAGATAGATAGATAGATAGATAGATAGATGGATGGATGGATGGATGAAGAGTCTCTAGTCTAGGGCTGCCTGTAAATCTTGGTGTAGCTGAGGGCTGACTCCTGATCCTCCTGCCTATATATATATATATATATATATAGAGAGAGAGAGAGAGAGAGAGAGAGAGAGAAAGAAAGAGAGAGAGGGGGGATATGTATACATTTTTAAAAAAGAAATGCAGCTTTTCTGCTGAGAATCACTGTTTTCTTTTACTTCATTGAACCTAGTAATATTAGCTGCTCCTAAGCCATTGCCTGGTACTTTTAACATGTTAAGACTCTTGAGTTTTGCTTCTTTTGGTTATTTTTTTCCTTTGAGAATATGTCTGAAGCATTTTTGGGTTGTGTCTTAGAAACTGTTTTCAGGGGCTGGAGAGATGGCTCAGAGGTTAAGAGCACTGACTGCTCTTCCAGAAGTCCTGAGTTCAATTCCCAGCAACCACTTGGTGGTGGCTCACAACCACCTATAATGAGATCTGGTGCCCTCTTCTGGCGTGCAAGCATACATGGAGGCAGACTGTTGTACACATAATACATAAATAAATCTTAAAAAAAATTGTTTTCAGGGTCTTTGGGTTTTGTTCTAATCCTCTAGAAAGTGCTAATGCTTTTGTTTAGTGGGGAGATTAAGTTGCTTAGACATGGACTCTGTCATACTTATTTAGGTAACAAGTTAAATCTTATTCATCTCTTCCAGCAGGAATTGCCTGGAACTCTCCTACTTTCTGCTCTTCTCCCCAAGTCACTTGTACTCTGCCTTCATGTTGTGCACACTCAAGCAGGGCTTAGCCAGAAATCGCAGGGACTGGTACACAGTGTAGTGTTCTCTTTATCTGAAAACTTTCTCACTTTCCAGTTGCCTTTTGACACAATCTCCTTAGTTCCTCAGGAAACTTGAGGAGGTGGAGCCTCACTGGGGGAAGTGGGAAACTTGAGGAGGTGGAGCCTCACTGGGGGAAGTGGGAAACTTGAGGAGGTGGAGCCTCACTGGGGAAGTGGGCCACTAGGATTGGGCCTCGCCCTTGATAGCTTTGGCCTGTTTCTTGTCCCATCTTTGTTTCTCCTTCCTCTCAGATGTTGGGTGATGAGACCCCTCTACAAGCTGTTCCTGTTGCCATGCCTTCCCCACAACAATGGGCTGTGTCCCCTCAAACTATGAGCCAGGTAAATCTTGTCCCTTCTAAGTTGTTTTTTTCAGGTATTTGATTACAGCAAAAAGCAACTAATATGCTGTGATAAAGCTGAGTATATAAATAAGCACACTAAGAGTGTAATGATAGCTAATAAATCTGGAACAATTTACCATAAATTTGATCTTTCTCATTCTCTTGTTTTAGTGCACAACCTTTCTTCTTGTGATGACACATTATGATATAACGTCCCTGTGATGAAATGGAGGTGAGTGACAGACATCGTGGTATAGTAATGGGCCACTATGTGGGGGTTTCTTGAACACGTGGACTGAAGTAGTAATATTACATCAGTCTGTCTGAAAATGGAGATGGCTACTAAGTGACTATCCAGTGATTTGATTCTTATCTTGCTTTCATAGAAAGAAGGGAACACGAGATTCCATCAGCTAGTCAGGATGACACACCCTTTAAAATGTATCCTTCCTTGAATTTTCCAGGTACTATCTTCAGTATGGCTGAGTGCATTTGACTCAAAACTATGGAGATATGAGATCCCAGATTTGGGGTAGCTATTGTAGATAATTAAAAGGTTTATGCATGCTTGATGTTTTTAAGGACTGTGTGTCTTGAGAGAAGTACACATCCTATCCTTACGCTTTCCCATTCATAGCTCATCATATTACCATCTCAAGACATTTCCTCATTTAGATTTGAATAATCTAATGAGCAGCCTTTGACAAGCTGGTGGGTAACACACCTATAGATATAGTGATTTTTGAATGAATGATAATCAGTGTCTATAACTGGAAAATGTCAGTTCATGTATGATTGTATTGTGTATATACAAGGACATTTGTGTATTTGCACAAGGGCGCATGCTCATGTGCATCGAGGCCTCTCGTGCCTCAGGTACTTGGTTCTCTGCTGCTGTGATACACACCATGGCCAAAAGCATCCTGTGGAGGAAAGGGCTTGTTTGGCTAACACACCATCACAATCCATCATTGAGGGAAGTCAGGAAGTGTAGAGGAAAGCTGTTTACTGGCTTGCTTTACATGGCTTGCTCAGCTTGCTTTCTCATATAGTCTAGAATCTTCTGCCTGGGGATGGTGCTACCCATAGTGGGCTGTGCCTGCTAATAGCAACCATTAATCAAGAAAATGCCAGAGACATGCCCACAGGCCAGTCTGATGGGGGATAATTCCTTGAGGTTCTTTTTTTCCCAGGTGACTCTAGTTTGTATCAAGTTGACAGAAACTGACCAGCACACCACCCCTTGTTTTGTGAGACCTATTCGATCACTTTTACCTTAACTCCTCAATTTGGATAGGCTGGCTAGCCAAAGAGAACCAGGAATATACCCATCTCTGTCCTCTGGCCAGTGAGATTACAAGCAGGCCACTAAGCTCAGTTTTCTTCCTTCATGTAGGTTCTTAAGGGATAGAGTTCAGGTCTTCATGGCTGCACAGTACTTTCCTGAGCCATCTTCCCAAGCCCTGATGCTAAGTTATTCTTATAAAAACGAGACAACTGAGATGCAGGAAGCCTTAGGTTCATTTTTCTTAGGTATGTGACCTAACAACCAATGTGTAAGATAAGGAATGCAGCAATTTAACTTTCACCTGAAATTAAAGTATTCTTTGCTTTTTACTCTTCATCATTCAGGTCAGAAGTAAAGCTGAAGTGCAGTGGGAAAAGAAACAATAATAGCAACAGATCTATTTACTAAAAGCTTCCCGTGCAACTGACTGCTAAGAAAAACAACCTGTTCTGTGTTTTCAGAGATGAGAAAAAAACATTCAGATCAAGCTTTAGTGACTGCATAGGACAGCAAAGCAGGTTTTTCTGGTTGCAATCTCAAGCCATTTAATAGTGTTCCATAATAATGACTAGAGAGGGCCATGTACAAGTTATTACCCAGGAAGACAGGTTTATAGCAGTCAACACAACATTGAAATGAAATGGGTCTTCCTTTCAAGGGTTCATCCTTCTTCAACATGCAGAGTTTGGAAGACACAAGTTAAAGTATCAAGTGTCCATGAGTCAGGATTTAGAAAGGTTGATAGGGACAGAGAAGCAGTAGACACAGTCTCTCATGAATTGTACAGATATTTATGCTTGTCAAAGTGTCTCATTTGACTACTTATCCCATTGGCCTATCAGAGATACAACTAAGATTGCTTGAAAAATTAGAGATAAAAATAATTGCTTGCCATCTGCTCTTCCATGGAAAATGGAAGAGAAAGGCTCTTTTGAGGCTAATTGATGAACCAGCTCGCCTCCATTTGGGGCTTGAAAGTCATTTTACATTAAAGGCAAACTAGATTCATTCCTGTTTATGACTAAATCTGTTTCTCAAGGATTGGGCCATGCCCCACCTGTAACCTTAACTACAACTGGTTCTGCATTGCCTGTTCCAGAAAACAGCAACCATACTTTTGTTTCAAAAGGGTTGTTATGACAACTTGTTGTTAAGACTATCTTGCAATCATGCTTTGTTTCAGGAGGACCAACTTGATATATATATATATATATATATATATATATATATATATATATACATACATACATACATACATACATACATACATACATATACACATTCTGCTTCTGTAACCCCACCTATTTGCCTGCCAAATCCCCCATTTGGAAACCCCCTACCCTGAGCTAAAAAAACCTTTATCCTCCCCACCTCCAAGGCTGATTTTTTTGAACCCCATCTTTAGGGAGAGACAACTCCCTATACAAACAGTTTGTACACAAGTACATTTGCTTTAATTAATTGCTTAATTTGGCCATGATGACTTGGGGCAGTGGTCTTTCTCCTTGAATTTGTGGGATTAACATAATCAACCACATATCCACTCATTCATTTGTAACTTTTCTAGTTTACATAGAACATAATTGAGATAGGTTGATCTTGTGGGGAATGTATTTACAAATTGTTAGGGTTTTGGATCTGAAATATCTCCCACAGGCTATGTGCTCTAAAGGCTAGGTTGTCAGCTGACAGTGTCACTGGGAGGTACTGGGAACTTTAGGAGGAGGGGAGTAGTTGGAGTGCCCTTTAAAGGTGGACTGGAACTCTGCCGCTCTCTCTCCCTCTGTTCCTCCTTATCTCCTTTCTGGTCACCTGGAGATGAGCAGATTTTTCTACCATATGTTCCCAGCTAGGATGTTCTCTTCTACCACAGACTTAAAAAAAAAAAAAAAAAAAAAAATGGAGACTAGTAACCATAAACTGGAATCTTTGAAACTATCAGCCCAAATAAACCTTTCATGAGGCATACTGTCACGGTAATAGAAAGCTAGCACACAAATTATTTCCTTGGTTCTATAAATTAAGATTTTCTTTAAAAAAAAAAAACAAGTAATTGTATTAAAATAAATGTAATTTGCGTCAGCACAATTGTATTTATCCTAGCAAGGAGTTTTTAAAAGATTCTTTTATTTACAGAAACATTTTTTGCATTTCCATATGTATGAGGTGACTAAGGCATAGTCACAATCAGAAACATTTCTCTAATACTATCTGTCCTTCTTGTGTTCTGAGTAACAGAAAGTCATGGGCAGTAACATTCCCCCTTTACCCAGTTCCTGTCCCCTTATCACATTCCATCTCCACATTCCCTTCCTGCTTTGCAAGGGAATCTGAAGGAGCACGGGATATGGAGAGGTAAGTTTGTCCTCTATTTTAAACCACTGCATCCAGCAGTGTTTGTGTCTAACGCTGCTTGTGCATTTACCAGTTTCTCCCCCATTCTCTCTTCAGTCCCCTTCCTATGCTTTACCGGTTGCTTATCAGCTATAGACACACTACCAAGCCACACTGACCCATACTCTTGTCACAGGAGACCTGAAAACTCCAGCTCCATTCTCACTCTCCTTTGTAGGATGATGGCCAGAGGTGGAATAGAAAGTGTTTTCCCTCGCATCCCCCACTGGAGCTGTTAGTACCTTCTCCTACCAACCAGTTGCTACTGGTCTGTGATCCTTTAGCTTTCTCTCATAACAGTTACCATTTATTAAATGTTAGATTGTTTATATACGTGCACGCATTGGCTACTGTTTGAGTGCGTCTTCAGCAAGCACTGTTTTAGGCATTTTAAAATTACTAACTCCCATATTCTGTGAGGCTAGTACACTTACAGAGAAGGAAGCCCATGTAAATGCAAGATAACTGGAGGCAGTGGAATCTGAGTCCGCCTAGCTTCACTGCTTGCCTTTACACAAGGGATTCTCACCTCAAGCATGCTGTACCTTTTGCTGTCCCTTGATCTCCCCAGGTTTCTTGTCTTCCCCTTTCCCCTCCCCCGCTCATCCCACAGGCTGCCCACGCTCCACCGCTCCCAAGCCTTCACTTCCTTGTGTCTTCTGATAGAAGAGTGTTCCCTTCCTCCTGGAAATTTCCCTCTTAGCTCAAAGTCTCCACCCTGCTGGTCGGCTCGCGCTCCCCACGCCCGCCTCCCGCTGGGCGGCCGGAGCGCAGGCGCAGGACCCAGCTTTGCGGGGCCAGGGGTCCCGGCTCCCAGCAGCCCCCGCGCGCGGTGCAGGCTGGGGGAACATGGCCGCTTCCGGTCTCGCACTCGGGCTGGTGCGGGGCTGACAGCGGCTGCGGCCCCGTGCGCTCCTCCGTCCGCATCTCTCGCCGGCGGCCGCAGAGGGTGCAGCGGCCTCCTGTTCTCGCGCCATGGAGAAGAGCTCGAGCTGCGAGAGTCTCGGCGCGCAGCCCCCGGCGGCACGGCCGCCCAGTGAGGACTCACTGTCCAGGTGAGGCCGGAGCGTGCTGGGACGGAGGCCGGGATCGTGCGGGTGGAGAGGCCGGGGCGTGCCGGAGGAGAGGCGAGGGCTGCGGCAGAGATGGAAAGGGCAGAGCTGGGCGGGGATGGAGAGGCCTGGGCCTGGAGAGGCCGGGGCCTTGAAGACAGGAGAAGCCACGGGCAGCCGGTTCGGGGATGGAGAGTCCGGCAGAGCCATGCTTCCTCCGCTGGGCCCTCGGCGTGAGAGGTGAAAATGCAGTTTCTTTATGGCCTCTGCCCTTTTTATTCCTGCTCACTTACCGCTCGTGGAGGCTGATCCAGCTGTGTTTAACACAGCGTTTTTACTTTAACCGGAGTTGTGTTGTCAAGGACATGACACTTCTTTTCACTCTTCTGCCCTCCTTGTCACAGAGTTTGGGGGCCAGCACATCAACAGACAAGAGGCCTTTGGGGACACTCTGAGACAAGCATGCTTAGTTTTAACATGGGGCGGGGACGAAGCCTCACAAAGCCAGTTTCTTAGCTTAAACATCAGTGACATTTACCAACATAATGTACATTATATGTGGTGTCTGTTTGGGACACTCCTTAATTAACTGTAGAGAATAGCTTCATTATAGAAACTTGTTAGCTTAATTTTAATGTAGGCAGTCACAGGTGATTCTAATGTACAGGCAGGACAGACTATGTTATTTCTACAAGTGTATTTTATTTCAAGTTTTGTTAGTCTACAAAGTACGAAGTACTACAAGCAAAGTGTGAGTGCTTGACTATGGTAGCTCAGCTGTTTTCTGTCCTGTCACTCTAAAGTTGTTCTTTATTTTTTGTTTATTCAGAGTGCAAATAAATTATCTTATGAATTTGTTTTCATATACTCTACAAAGTAATCTTTAATACTGCTTAATGTATCACAGTTTCTCTCACCCAGTAGATTGATAAATTGAGTACTATTTAATTTTTTTTAATGTGTATGTGCTTCCATACACATTTATGTGTACTACATGCACACTGGAGTCCAGGAGGTCAAAAGGGAGTATCAGATTCCCTTAAACTGGAGGGACAGGCAGATGTGTCCCTCATGTGGGTGCTGGGAACTGAACCCTGGTCTTCCACAAGAGTAGCAAGTGCTCTCTACTGCTGAGCCATCTCATCAGCTCTGACTTAAATTTCTATTGAGCTTAGCTACAAGGAAAATTATGGAAAAATTATTACTTTGTATTTGTTGGAAAATAGAAACTATCTCCTCAGCTTAGCAAAAAACTTCAAATTTGTAACTGAAGTTGATAAAACACTCATTTCTGATGGTCTCAAATGCTTCAATTATGAGATGAATTTGGTTGAAATATCTTGTTTGAATAGTTAATTGATAGTACATTTTTGTCCTTTCTGGGGAGAATATAAATATGACATTGAACCCTGTAATTCATTTCAGGGTCCATTGTTTTTTTTAAAAGGATGTACTCTGTTGAAATTGGTTGAAAGGCTTTGGGAAGCCTGAACTTCCACTAAAAGTGTGTTGTCTTGATGGAGGGTGTGAGTCGTTTTTGAGTTGTGCTGGTTTAACTTTGCCTTCTGGGTCAACATAGATCTGATAGTTTGACTTTAAAAGACCATTTTTCCCCCTTATTCAGATAGTTCCTAACAACTGTAGTAAGCAGCGTCTGTGGTGGATCTTGCTTTGCCCTCTTTAGGCAGCTCTTGCCTACTCTGCATACATGTAGCTCCCCTCCCTAGGATGTGGGGACAAACTTTACTTTGCCATACTGGTCATCCAGCTGTTTCTATAATTTTATTTTTGTTGGTCTTGCTGTGATTCTTGATGTAAATAGGACTCTACGGAATATGAAATATAAATAAATCCCTACTGTAGGCCAGTTGCGAAGGCTCGGACAGCCCTGACCTTCAGCAGTGTGTTGTACTAGTTTACCGCCTACATCTGGTTTCCATCTTCCAGGCTGTGTACTGTGGATTGCACTGAGTAGGTGTCTTTGATGCCTGCTTTTTCCGTGTGTGGTCAGATGGTAAGACGTGTCTAGCAGGTGCTCCGAACATTGAAACAAAGGAATGTTGATGCTTCTTCAGCACTGGTCTTGTTTGTTGTCCTCATTCAGAGGATTAAAAGGACTCTCCTGTTGTGACTGAACAGTTGCAACCTCAGGTTTAGCCTAAGCTTACTTGGGTGTGAAGCGCGCAGCACCCTGTGTGGTCATCTTTGACAGCGTTCTCTTTTCTAGGCTCGGTCCTTTCTCGTGCCCTCCTCACCTTGTCATCTTTAATCTTGATTACTTTGACTCCCCAGTCTCATTTTCCGTGTCAGTCGTTTTGGTGTGTCTTTTCCCTTTTCATATATTCTTATGCTGTAGTTATTCTGGGTAATACTTGCTTGTCTCTTGTTATTTTGATTTTATCAGTTGCTTTCTAGTTGATAATTTAGCATGCATGTTCCATGTCCCATATTTATGCTTGACTTTCATTAACAAGAGAACGAACACATGCTGAAGGCCATTCACAACTGATTTTTTTTTTTCTTAGAAAGGCTCACTGTGTAGCCCAGTCTGGCCTTGAACTAAAAAATCTTCTGCCTTAGTCTCATGAATGTTTTGATTACAGATGTGCACTCTCCTACACTTCAATTTAATTGCATTTTGTAAATTGCATGTCTTTCTTAAAATTATCATCATTTGAAAATAGTGAATCCTGGGTTACTGTTTCTGTGAATTTTAATTATAGTCTTAAGTGGTAAAGCGTTTCCAGGATGCCCAAAGCATATTTTGTTGCAAAATCTCATCTGTAGTTTTAACTTCGAGGTCACTTGAAAGTGATATGTTGGTAGGAAATAATGCTTCCAGGAAGTGATGTGTTGGTAGGAAATAATGCTTCCAGGTTTTTCCAGTAGTGATGGGTTTATATACAATTACATTCTTACCTATTTGCATTGTGACTTGTGGTGTGTTTTCTGAGGCAGCTGGCCAGGACTAGTGTTAAAAGTTACAGCTTCAGGACAAAGTGACTATTTGGTTCAGTGGCCCCCTTGGCTTTGTTATTACTGGCACTGATTGTAGTGGTAATCTAAAAGTTATTTTGCAATTCATTATTTCTAGACCCTAAAAGAACCTTAATCTCTGTGTAAGGCCCAATATTATTATGAACTTACCAATATGTACTATGAAGATTTTAAAAAGCCTGATTACTATTCAAAAGTATGAAAGTCAATCCTGAGGCTGATATTGGATCCTGTATACTTTTTTGTTGTTGTTTATTAAATCTCATCTTTAAAGGAAATTTTCTGAGTATTTATTTTCAGGTGTGAATAACACAAGTTAAAACTGTAGACTCTAGGACTTTTCCTAAAAATAGGGGTCCTAATGTAATGCATTACAATAAAATAATTTATAAAATTATTACAATGGAGAAGTTATGTGACAGCATAAACAGGCCAAACAAGTGCAACCGAATTGTACCCAAGGGAAGGAAGTAACTCTGGAGGGCACATAGGGCCAGAAGGCAGGAAGTTTCTTTTGGAAAGCTGCCAAATTATGCTATTGTATTAAAAACCACCACAGCCTAAGACTGCATGTGATTTAGGATTTTGAGTAGTGGAAATTCTCCAGATTCTACTGTGGAATATTTTCCATTTTTTGGGAAAGTACTTGCTATCCTTGTGCTATGTAATTAGGTTAAATAAATGGCCGAATCTCCTAAAGAGATGCTAATCAAGGACCTGTAATGATTTTATAAGACTGATTCCTACAGGAAGTTAGGTTAAAAATGGGGGTCTAAGATAGTTCATAGCTGCCTATAACTCCAGCTCAGTGGATCTGATACCTCTGGTCTTCACAGGGTCCTCTGTTTTATTCAATTCAATTATATTTGATTGGATTTAATTGAGCTGTGTCTACTTTGTGACAAAAATTTGTCGTGTTATTAATGTGTTTTCTGTAGTACAGCTTAAAATTAGATACAAAAATATTTCCAGCAATATTCTTTTTTAAGTATTGTATTATCTCTTTGAGAATTTCACATAGTATGTTTTGATTATCTTTATCCCAAGTCCTCCCATGAATTAACTGGCCCCAGATTCACTCCCACCTCCCTACTACTCACAACTTTATGTCTTCCCTTTTTGAAAATTTAACAACCCATTGACTCCAATTTCTGCTACTCAGAGTCACAGGTGTGGGGCCACTCACTAGAGTACGTTTAGCGTACTTGGAGCCATATCGTTGAAGAAAATCAACTCTCTCTCTCCTGGAATCTATTAAATCAAAGCAGCACTGCATTTCCAGTACTGTTCTTATTATCTGAGATTACTTTATGTGGAATTTTGTGTTTTCATGTAAATTTTGAATTGTTTTATTTTCTACTTTTGTGAAGAATGAAGTTGCTAAGTGGTTAACTCAGATCCTCTGGAAAATCAGCAAGTACTCTAACTACTAAGCCATCACTCCAGCCTCTCAAATAAAAAATATTAGTGGTTAATAAACTTTTAAAGTGTTCAGAATTCTTAATCAACAGGGAAATACATCTGTGTCCCAAGAGGGATAGACTACATCCCCAGCTGGTAGCAGAACTTGATAATGTTGTA